GCTGGCTCTGCAAAGGCTTTCAGAGGTGTTCCCATTCTCCATCCAGCAGCTTGGGGTCACACAATGTGCCTGGGAGAGGAGGGGATGCAGAGAGAGGGGAGAGAAATTGAGCAATTTCAAAATTCATGCCCCAAGCTCCCCATCCCGCTAGCAGGGGTTGCAAGGATTTTGTCGGGGAGGGGGGGGGGAGAGAAAAATCTTCATCCTGTAAAGATTTGTAAGCAAAAACTAAACCCCAGGATTTTAAATGTCTGTTTTGGGGTGGAAGGAAGGAGAGTTTTGGGTCACTAATCACCCTCACATGGGGGTTGTGTGCCTGGGAAGGGTTTTTCACCCCCCATCCAACAGCGACAGCTTTGTCCATCCCACGGCTGCTGCACATCCTTCCTCTCTCGTGATGGAAAAGGGCAGAGTTAAGGGGATAAATCTGCCCCAAATCTGCTCCTCTGAGGGATGGAAAAGGGCAGAGTTAAGGGGATAAATCTGCCCAAAATCTGCTCCTCCGAGGGATGGCAAAGGGCAGAGTTAAGGTGACAGCAGTTTCAGGGACTGTGGCTCAGTGGCAGAAGAGCAGGTCTAGGGTGACAGCTCCTGGGGACAAGTGATTTGGTTTTGGAGCAGTCTGACAGAGAGGTGAAACCCCCAGTCCCAGGTGGGGTCCCTGCACCCCTGGGGACTGTCCCCTGGCCACGGCTTGCCGTGCGATGTGCTTGCCACAAGATGGGGCCAGAAGATTGGGAATGACAGCACGTCTCCAGGCACTTGGAGGGTTCGTATGCCCTTGGGGGTGGCCTTGGGGACACTTGGCTGACCTCAACACGGGCAAAGACCCCCACCAGGAGATCCCTTGTGGCCTTTTAGGTGGATTTTTTGAGCAGACGGGTAGGTATACAGGGAGATGGGTCACTTCCCAGAGAGACGGGACTCAAAGACGGGGAGGTTTTGCAGAGCAGGAGGGTTATCTCAAGGTTTTCAGCCCCTCCAGGGACCCCAAAATTGACCATATTTCAAGCAGGGAGGGATGCTGCTGTGCTGTGATTTTGGAGGTGCCCCTAGGTCCCCAGGCACGGGACCCAAAGGTACCATCAGATGGGGCAGCCTGACCTGCACCCAGGGTGGAGGGGGGTCTGGGGTACCAGGCAACCCTGGAGCACCCCAAGCCAGGGCTGGAGGGGTGACATGGGGCCATCATGCTGAACTCCAGCACTGGGGCCGGCTTTACCCCATTGTCCATGCTCTTTTTAGACCAAGTTGGGTGAGACAGGCAATTGCCAACTTCGGAAAGCACAGAAACATCTCTGGTGGCTTCGGGCTGACCAGAGAGGAGCTGAAAGGAAAACGCACCTTTACAGCAGCTGGTGGTACCCACGGTGACTCTGTGGAGGTGTTAGCAAAGTGGACAGGGCTGCATGGGGACTTCAATGAGATTGCCCCAGGCATGGTAGAAACCAGCACTCCTGCAGTATGCATTTATGTTTCCGCAAATAGATGGCAAAATCCTCCCCTCCATGGAGGCTGGAGCCTTGCAAAGCACCTTGGACATCCAACCTCCCACCCAGCACCCTAAAACCAAGGGCTGGGGGATTGCACCTTGGAGCAGGAGGCCCCAAGGCAACTCATTCTCACCTGCCCTAAGCATGAGATGGGACCTGGGGAGGACCTGGGAGGTGAACTCAGTCCATGGGATGTGGGAGGACGGGAGGATGACGGTGCTCTGCCCTGGGCCCCACGGGAAGCTCATGCCCATCTCTGCCCTCCCCTTGGTGTCTCCACGAGGCAGGTCACCGTAATGCCTCACACCAGGCTGCTGCTCCTCCTCACCCTCCTCTGCGCCACCGAGACCGGATGGGCTCTCCGCCTCTACAACGCCGCCTCCATCTTCAGCTGCCTCAATGCAGCCCTCGCTGAAGCCCCGAAGAGCCACCTGGAGGAAAACTCTGTCTTGGACAAGCGCAGCTTCGACTCCCCATCGCCCGAGGAGGCTGAGGAGGAGGAGGAGGAGGGGGAGGATGCTGTGGATGAAGAGATGGGGAAAAGGACGTTCCCGGGGGAAGGCCATTACAAATACATCTCCCAGGCACAGGTGAAGGGGAAGACGTACCAAAACCGGGCCAAGAGTGACCGCCGCACCAAGGTGACCCTCTCCCTTGATGTCCCCACCAACATCATGAACATCCTCTTCAACATCGCCAAAGCCAAGAACTTGCGGGCGAAGGCTGCTGCCAACGCACACCTCATGGCGCAAATCGGGCGGCGGAAGTGACACCCCCCAGGGTAGGGGGGACTCGGAGCAGGGCTGGCTGCGTGGGGCCACCACCCGGCCCCAGCCAACTGGCCAGAGGGGACTGATGGCCATGTACGATATCAGTGTTGTATATTTTTGACCCATAGAGCTACCTAACTTTCATATCTCTTCTTCCTTCTTCTCTCCTTCCCGATCTCCTCCGTCCCTCCTCCTGGACATTTCCATGCGTGGGGAAGAAGCTCGTGTCCACAGCAGGGCAAGGGGACGTGTCACCTCGGGAAGATCCCTAATTAAAGCTATGATCTCTTGAGTTTCCAATGCTTTGTTCTCCCATCGCCTCCACCAGGTGCTCGGTCAGGTCTGTCTGGGCATGTAGCCTTTCCAAAACCTCCCTCCACCTTGACCTCACGGCCCTTTCCCCACCACGGTCCAGACCCCACTCCCTCCCAAGTCCCCATACACAAGTTGTCCCTACACACAATCATCACTGAGTTGGGAATTGAAAAGTACAACTGGCCAGGGGACCTCAAGAGGGATTTCCCAGTTTCTTCTCCTGGGGACTCTCTAGGGTTTAAGGTTGCCTGGCAACCATCCCTTTCCCCACTGGCACCTTCAGCAGACACAAATGGGACAGCATCACTCTCCATCCACATGGAACTCCATGAGTGTCCTCAAGCCATCAGTTGGCCCAGGCGTCCGTGGCCTCAGGTGAGTTTGAACCCCAAGAGGTGCAGGTGCCTCTCTGGCTGCTCCAGACCCAACTCATGGGGTCTGTCCCTGTTACCCAATCTACCCCTGCCCACCTTTTAGACACTCTCCCTTTTCCTGGTAGACCTCTGTACCAGTCTGGGGGTTTCAGCTCCCCATACACAGACCGTCCCTGTCCACTCTGTTCTTTTCCACCCTCCACTGAGCCCCAGCTCACCAAGCTCCCACCCCTTCACCTTGGACTATTTATCCCTCCCTCTAAATCTCCCTTTCTCTTCAGCTCCCAGCCAAGCTCCGAGGTGAAGCTCCATCTCTTGACCTCCATCCCTGTGTGTACCAGGCATGGGAGATGGAGCAAACTTTGGCCCTCCTTCCCCAGGAGGTATTTGCCAAGAGCAGCAAAGCAGCTCCAACCAGGCCCATCCAGGTGTCCATGGCATGGCCATGGAGAGCACTCCAGGTGGGACATTAATAGGGGACAAGTCTCTGGGTGAAGTGTTGGCAGATGGACCCACCAGCCACCCGCACAAGCATAGCTGGAGGCATCACCTCTCCACCCCACTGGGCACCCAGGGGAGCCAACACAGCCGAATTCAGCCCCAGTGAGACCATGCTTGGGTGGCCGAGGGTCCTAGCTCACTCCCAGCCCAGGAACTCAGGACCCAAATTCAACTGAAGCCTGAAAAGCAAAAATAAAATAATACACCAGGCCCTTCGGCATCGTCATAGAATCACAGAATGGTTTGGGTTGGAAGGGACCTTCAAGATCATCGAGTCCCACCCCCTGCCATGGGCAGGGACACCTCCCACTAGCCCAGGTTGCCCAAAGCCTCATCCAGCCTGGCCTTGAACCCCTCCAGGGATGGGGCATCCACAGCTTCTCTGGACAACCCGTTCCAGTGTCTCACCACTCTCATCTTCCCCTCATAGCCCACATCTCCAGCAGACAACACACCAACATGCCCACAGCATCTCTGTGCAATCACCTCTTCCTGCCTCAGCCCCAAGGTGGACACAGGAGGTTGTTCCTTGTTGCAATCTGCTGTAGTCTTGGACTACATGGCCCTTTATGGCCCTATATAGAGTTTTATACATTTTTATAGACCAACACCCTACTCGTCCATCCCCCATAATGACATTGAGCTCTTTTTCAGCCAGCAGGACAGAGGGATTGTCCTCATTTTACACTCAGGGAAACTGAGGCACACATGCTCGCTCACATCTGGTCAGGCAAAGCAGGGCAGAGCAAGGTCAGACGTGGCTGGGCTCTTAGCTGGACCCACTTTCAGCCCTTTGTGGGTTGAGCCAGAGGTGTCCCCAGGTTAGAATCATAGAATCATAGAATTACAAATGGTTTAGGTTGGAAGGGACCTTAAAGACCATCGAGTTCCAACCCCCTGCCATGGGCAGGGACACCTCCCACTAGCCCAGGTTGCCCAAAGCCTCATCCAGCCTGGCCTTGAACCCCTGCAGGGGTGTCAAGGTTGTCCAGGCTCAGTTTTTCTGATGCACAAGGCTGTCTAGAGGAGCCTTGGCACGGCAAGGAGCAACAGAGGGATTTGCTCAGAGTCAAGGGAGAAATCACTGCTTTGAGTAGAAAGTTGAAGATTTTCCCCTGTGCTCCCCAGTGAGCTCCAGTAAAGCTCTGTCCCAGACTGGGAACAGGCTTTTCTCCACCACCAGGAGCCATGAGGATCTGTACCAGCCCTGCTTTTGGTCCTTTCCCAGCACCAGGTTAGATGAAGCGAACATCTCAACGCCATGCTACTGTCTGGAAATCAAATCATAGAATCATAGAATCATGGAATAGTTTGAGCTGGAAGGGACCATGGAGGTCACCTGGTCCAACCCCCCTGCAGTAAGCAGGGACATCTTCCACTAGATCAGGTCGAACATCCCATGCCCAGGGCTCACACTGGATCTTTCTTCTGCTCCCCTTTAACGAAGGCAATTAACATTGAAACGACACCGTGGGAGCAGATGAGCCAAGCTGTTTGCTGGCACAAAGCAAAAAATAAAAAACTTTCATGTGCAAAGCTGAGACGGGGACAGCAGACACCAGCTGATAGCGAGCGATGGGGAAAACAGAGATCTTCCCTCCCCAGCTGCATCCCGGTGGGGGAGTCTCATCCACACCCGGCACCGGCTTGGACAAACCCTTCCAAAATTAATCCTCCTTCTCAACCTCTGCCAAGCAAGACCGGGGGTTGCTTGGAGAGGCTGAGACACAAGCGGAGGTTGGAGGAGCCAGATTTCCTGAGGAAGCTGGATGGAAACAGGAGCACTGAAATCTCCATCAGCACCCACCTGGGTCTGGGAGCGTGCAGAGTCAAGGCTGTCGTGCTTGGGAAGGACGGTGTTGCTGCTTGGGGTGATATGTGCAGTTTTGTAAAAGCCAGCTGAGGATTTGGTCTTTCCTGCCATTTCATGCAGGGTTGAAATCCAAACTCTGAGTAACGCACTCAAAAAGAACGGTTTGTTCAGGTGTGGTTGCACAGCCGCTGCAGGCTCACTCTGGCCAACATATCTTTCTGCATCCACTGCTGGGTCCCTTCCAAACTCTTAATAATCCTTCCCTCAGGCTGCCAGCTCTTCCCTGGCCTCCAGGAACCCCCTTGTCCTCTACACGCCAATGCTCAAAGACCTCCTCCACTCACATCAGAGCAAACCAGAGATGCTGCAGTGATTTAGGCAACCCCCAAAGACAGCAGGTCCTGAGACCCATCCTGGGATCAAGGAGGCCCCGTGCACATCTGGTTGAGGAAAGGATTCAGGCAGTGTAACTCAACGGGTGTGGAGCATCTGGGCAAAAATGCACCCCCACTGTGCAAGAAGGTACCCACATTCACATCATAGAATCACAGAATGGTTTGGGTTGGAAGGGACCTTAAAGCCCACCCAGTGCCACCCCCTGCTATGGGCAGGGACACCTCCCACCAGCCCAGGTTGCCCAAAGCCTCATCCAGCCTGGCCTTGAACCCCTCCAGGGATGGGGCATCCACAGCTTCTCTGGGCACCCTGGGCCACTGCCTCACCCCCCCTCACAGTACCCTTGGCTGCTACATGGGTGCTTTGTTCTGCTCCGTGTCCCTCTCATGTGCTTTTGCTTTGAATTGTGGACCTTTGCCTTCCTGGCCACTTTCTGCAGGTTGTGCCTCTGGGGTAGTCCCATTTTTTTCCTCTTCCTCTTGGCACGCCCCAGCCCTGGCACTGAACTCAAGAAGGGTGGTGGGACAGAGGGGATCTTGCCCATGTCCAGAGCACTAAATCATGAGGTTTAGTAGCTCCTGTAGAGCCAGTCCCCATGTCTTAAGGTGAGATCAGATTTTAAAACTTGTATTTCTGACCTCCGGAACATCCCATGTCAGTGAGTTCCTTGCTTTTGTATATGCTGCATGGAAAATAAAACCATTGTCCATTTGCCCTGGAGATGAGAGAGAACCCAACATTCTTATGCCACCAGTGTTGGAGCAGGCATCTCAGCCCCGTGATGTTACCCCAAGGCAGGAGCCCCATCCTGCAACTCCTGTCCATCCCCAGGAGATTCAACAGATGTGCTGTTTCTATTTGCAAAAGGGAGATGGAAAGTAGAAAGCACATTTCCAGCCCTGAAGATTGAAAAGAAAATCTTAAAAAATGAGCCTCATTCATTATAAAGAAATAAAACCAGATACTCCTCACCCCCCCCCCAAAAAAAAAAAAAAACAAAAAAAAAAAACCACATTCAAAGTTCTTTTCCTGATTTCACTGAAAGTTCTCTTAGACACCACAGGGAGAGCAATGCTGAGTGAGTACTTCAAAGCCAAATAAACTCCAAGGGTCTGCAGGTGTAAGTCATTCTTACCCTCATGGCAATCTCTCCTGGAGCAGAAACACCTGAGCCCTTTGGCAGCAGGTGCCTACACAAGGAGGGGGCAGGAGGAGGGACCCTTTAGCAGAGAGCCCAGCTCCCCCTGCTATTAAAATCTCCAGAGGGAAGCAGGCAGGGTGTGCTCTTGGTGAGGTGGTTGTGATTGTGGTGGGGAGTCCAAGTGGTTGAGAGCCATGGTGAGTAGCTGTGGGGCTTGGGTTTGCTTTCTGATGTCCATGGCTGGTCCTTCTCTGCTCTGGAGGAGGGTGAAGCTGGAGGTAGCTTTTCTTTCCAGGTGTGGGAAGGTGTCTTGATCTTGCCTGTGGGTTTTCCTGGGGGTGAAAAGTGATTGTGGGCTATGGAGGAAAATGTGAGCCCTGGAGAAGGGGCTCCTGGGGATGCAGAGCTTGTGCTCAGGGGTAGCCAGAGCTGGGTTGGCCTTGCAAGCCTGCTGTCTGCC